CCTCCTCAGACTCTAGAAGCACTTCGAGAGGAGTTGGTGGTTGCCCGGAATGAGATACCACAGGAGGACATTGACCACCTGATCAGAAGCATGCCTAGGCGCGTTGGAGAATGCGTAGCACATCAGGGTGCATCCACACATTATTAAAGGTCAAAGGGCTTTAAAGCAGTGCAATCATTTTTATCATTTATTTATTATGCTTCATTAAGTACTTATACAAAATTTTATTAAAATAAAACCATTTAAACTGGGTGTTCGGATTTATAGGTTACTTAGTATACTTACATAAAAAAATTGAGATATTCTCCTCACGCCCTACAACCCTACAAAATGTTCTGAAAATTATCGCCAATAAACGAAATTAATAAACAATTTTTATTTGTTTCTCTTTTTGACCTCAGCTATAATAATAGAGTAATCTAGTGTGAAAATTTCATCAAAATCTAAGTAGTACTTTCCAATTGTAGACGGCCCAAGGATTAGCGGACAAACCGACAGACCAATGTAAATGAGTGACATGATTTCCGTGATGTGAATTCAAAAAAACATAAAATCCCATTTTCTTTATCTTTTAAAAGCATGTGACGTTTACTTTGCCATGTCAAGCACCATTTGCTACGCTTATAAAAATGATAGTTGAAAGTTATTATTCACCCAGAAGCCATACATAATCGTGATTGTCAATCCTCATTATACAGAATATATTTAAAAAAATACGTAGTTTTTATTCCTACCCTACAAATGTTGCAGACATTCATTTCTTGTTCTACTCGCTGCCTTCATCTATCCCGTCTTTTTATCTGCATTAATACCTTCAGTCATTCACGAAGGACTTGTTCTCTTTTATTAACTCTTCCATTAATCTTTTTTCGAGTTTGGAAAGGAAAGGACTAGTCAACTAAAGGGGTCCGGTTTGCGCAACTAAAACAAAAAACCTGTTTCTCCAGTAAAGTTTCAATCAAACACGTAAATGAACCAATTTAATAAGATAGGCCAACTTAGGATATTACCATCTTGGTATAGGCACAAAAGCTTACATACAAATACATGTCCTCTGTCAAAAAGCATAATCGTGGACAAACAAGTAACGCGAGGTGTGAAATTTTGAAGGGGGTCCGGTGTAGGTCACTTTTCCCTGCAAGGATGCAATCAAAACTTGTTGCGGCGACTAGTAGCTTTACTGTAGCTAACTCAGGTGGCTTAGTGTGCAGCAGCCCTAAATTGAGTCAGATTTAGTCCAGTTACTTTATCAGAATCATCAATGTATAATCATCAATGTATATCTCCTGTTAAGTAAAGAGAACTGTGTTTAGCTGAAGATATCTGAAGTAAATTAACAAATCTAAATTGCTTGGACTATCACTGCACTGAGCTCATCTTATTGGTCTACGTTTATATAACGGATTCTTTTACCATTACCTTTTTTACATTAGTTGATGTAGGAAATTTTTTTCTTTATTAGAAAATTTACACTTCAGAGTGACGATTCCTAATAAAAATGGTGCCCACTTTTCCATTGCTATTGAATCTCTAGGATGTTTCTAACTATAGACAAAACAAATATTCATTGATTAATGTAAGTTTTTTTGTTTAACCGTACGCTAATCAATGATAGTATCACTACTAATTTTCAAATACATAGAAACATCTGTTCTAGTTCTTCCATTTGAGGCTCCCTTTTTCTGAAGACGCCTTATTTGCCTTGACAGTCTTAACATATATAAGTGACAAGACTCTTGTAAACATCTTTCATCTTCAGTCCTGTTTGATCCAAGGCCTCTTTCCTGCCTTGCATAGTCACTAACTTCAAGGTTTCCTTAATGTACTGTTTTCCTCAAAGAAGATAATGACTGAAAACATTTTACCGCATCAAATTAATTATTAAATCGGTCGTTTAGAAAACCTCAGAAGTCACACAATGAGAATTTTTCAAAGACAACAAAAACTGCGTCACTGAAAATCAACCAGATCCAAAGTATTTTTGAGCTTAACATATTTTAGTTTTAAAAGAGTGAAATGTGGAATAACCTTCACATTTTTTTGATGTTGATGGAAAAAACATACGAACGGTGATGGTATATTTTTTCTTTTTCACATTATTGTTTTTGCATAATTTTTATAGCATTGCAAGGGTATTCCGTTTGTTGTAACTTGTGAATAAATAAGTTACTTGACTTGCCTTGCCTGAAACACGCATATATCTTTAAGGAAGCGTTTCCGGCAGAAAAAAACATTTTAAAAAAATGTGACTTACGCGGTTTTTTAAATTACCGATTTAATTGATAGCCGCAGGTAAAAAGGGGCTATCAGATCAGAGGTATAATCTGACAACTGTCCAGTCATTCCCAAGTGGCAACCAATTAAGGCGTCCTCTTTTGAGTTACTGGAGAATAGGACTTCGATATAACCAACATTACGCATATGCTTTACTAACGTGTAGCAAAACATAGTACTGGAATGGTGACCACCCGTGTAGATTTAAAACACTCCGGTGTTTTTCTTTTTTAAAAATATTTTACATTTTGAATTTTATAATTATCCTCAAAGTTGTGTCGCAACCAGGTGTGTTATGCTAAGCAACTTTGATTTTTATATTTTTTACATCTCTACGTCACATTGCATGGGTTTTCCATAATTATTCCAAGATTCCTGTATGCATTTTTTCTCTTTATAATTTTTGATTTTTTTCTATGAAAACGGCATCGAGCACTTTCGTATCTCACAAATTCTAATCAGTATAATGGACAAAGATGCAGTTTTCATATTTATTTGGAGCGAGTCAGTCAGCATCCCAGGGTTCTATAATGGATATACCGATTCACACAAAAAAACAAACTAGCCAGTATAAGATATTTTTCGTTCTCTAAGATACGTTTCCATTACTACAATCAGGGGCGATAGCGACCCTGAAATTAAATCAAATTTCAAGATGATACGTAAGATATTTTTGCAATTAAATAGTTACTTAAAACTTTATTTAATATTTGATTACATTTTCCAAATTTGGGATTTTTGTCAAAAATTGACATTTTATTTCTATATGACCGCATAGTCTATTCCAAATCCAAAATAAAAAAAACACTAACTAAGGAAGGGCACGACCTTGGGAATTTTTTTTGAGATGTGACTTTGTATTGTACTACTGTAGAGTAGCAATAGAGAAAAAGGCGTTCAAAAACTTTCTGAAGATAGAGAATTTCTTGTGAATGTAAGTGTTGTTTGTCTTCCAACTGATCTTTTACAAACCATTGTTCCTGCAAAAATTCCGCTTTCAATAATATTGAGTTTCATTGCAAACAATTTTTTGTTTTAAATGTTCTACGATGATTATCATTCAGGCATACATTTGTGATAAATAATGTACATGAAATACGATCAATTGGAACTTTTCACTTATTGATAAATTATAATATTATTATTATAGCTGCTAATTATATTATATTTTAAATATTACTATCTGTAAGTTATGATTTACAGTTTAAGAAGCCTTTTTCATTTTCAAAATAAACTAAATCATGAAAACCACACACTTTCCTCATGCTTTATTATCAGAGCGCAGTGCTTTTTGTAACAACATTCCTTTTTGATCTCTGAGCTTTATTCCAAAAATTCATAGTTATGAAGTCTTCGGGGCGTTCGTATACTTTTAAGGCATACATGTTATTAAATACTAATTACCTCATGTATGAAAATGGATTCTTATTTAAAATCTCGATACGACACAGATCCGCTGGCAGAAATGGTGGTTGATATTTGAATTTATAAAATTGACGTCCAAATGGCCTCTGTGGTCATTGGCTATGCAATATCCGAGGTGTTTCTTTAATATCCTGAAAGTTTCCTCAGAACCTTTTTTCAAAAACGATAATCGTGATTGCCTAGTTTTCCGGGAGTTCGTGTATTTTTAAGACGTTACAGTAGGCCATGGTGATTGAACCACTTATAACAGCTGGACCTCATGTATAAAAATCTGATGTAGCATCTCGAGCTTGACGCGAATCTGCCGTCCAAAATCGTTGTTGTTGCGATTTGAATATGTTGACCTCCAGATGACCCCTGAGGGCATTATCTAGGTTATTATCGAGATCATAGGTAAATCGATTTTTTGATGCCCTGAAACTTTTCTCAGAACCGCGAAGTGTCATCTCAAAATAAATTTCCAAAATCGTGCCCATGAAAAACAAAGTTTTGCTCTACTGCGGTCACAATAAAAACGAAAGTTGAACCAAATCAGCACACAATTATAATAATACTTCAACTTTAGTTTTTAGAATGAGCGCAATGTCAGCGTTTTATTCTAGATTTGAAGTAGGAAATACTAAGTTAAAGAGTCGAAGATACATAAACATGCCGGAACATGAGCTCAGCAGACTTAAGCGGACAAAATATTGCAGATGTTGAAGCAAATGTGCCGCAACATGAGGGCCTGCAACATGCACGCGGCACATGTGACTTCAACATGCTTTAAGGCTTAACGTGTTTTTGAACAAAACAATGTACCTAAAGAGAGATACTTATAACAATCGCAGTACCTAATCGGTATTTGGGTTTCTGTCTTCGCGGGTGGTTAAAAAACTGATAAAGTATATCCATTTCATCTCCAAGGTAACAGGTAAACATACAGGAATCGACCATCCCATCAACACCTTCGATTCATTTTTTCGCATAGTAGATTTAGATTTTTAATATAATCTCAGGTCACTTTCAACTCAAGGTCAACGAAAATTAAGGTACTGTTATTTTTTCCCTCTCTATTTGCCTTTTTTACTAACATTTTAGCTTTGATGTTAAATTTTGACGTTTATATTTCTTACTAGAACCTTCAACGTATGTGCTAGATAGCAAAACTAGATCAGATCAAGACCTATAAGATCTAGAATCCAGGCGTTGCATTTTACTCAAGATGTTGACGTTTTGATATTTCAAGAACTGGATATATCTAGCACATACGTATAGTTTACCAGTTTCATTTATTCTAACGATTGGATATATTTGAACAGGGGTGTTAGCTCGAAGAGTCCAACGTTAAGCCATAGTCCAACATTATATGGGGAGCATATATCAAATAACGTACAGGTAATCAACTATTTACAACTTGAATCAATATCAAGACAGTCCATTTGGAAAATGGTTGATTCGCAGTTGTCAAATAATGAATAATTCATTTAGAGGTACTTTTTTCAAAAGCATCAAATATAAAATTAAGCAAGCTTGTCGGTTTATCTTTTTTATCAAACAAAAGTAGCATCCATGTCATTCCTATGCGCAGACCTTCTTTCAGGTCATTATATTCTGTACGTTGTCTCAATATCCTGGCACCCGCATCAAAGTTTGTTGTGCTCCGTCAGTGTGTTCAGTTCTTGTTGGGACTTTTTAACGCTATGAGTGACCCCTGACTGACAGTGTACATGGCGATTAATTTATTGTTATTCGCTCGCTCATTATTTACTATTGCACAATTCATGATTGCATACACTTCTGCCTGGAATGTAAAAGTGTCTCCCAAGTAGTACACGATACCCAGGATTACACCTGCTCCGACATATACCTGCACCTATATATACCAGGTAATGTTACCTTGCCTTTGGTGTTCCATTCGACCTCCTATTTTGGTCTCGAAGATCTTTTTAAATACAAGTCTGGGAACTATATGGTCTTGCCCCGCGTCAAGCACGTCGCTTCCCACATATTTCCTTATTTGATTGTAACAAGGTCGTCACTTTGGCTGTAACTGTAGACGAGAGTAGCCCGTTCTCGTCTTCCCCGTTATTACAAATTATATCGGTGGGACATCCAGCATGGTCTCAAGTGATACAGTTGGAGCAACAAATGAAACCAACGCATGAAAATCAGGGAATATTAAGTAAACATGTTCATATTGTTCGAAAGTTGACAAGAAAAAGCCTTTACAAAGAAAGTGCGGCTCGGAATGCCTTCAACATCTTGTCAAGAGAGCAAATATGCTTACAAGTTTTTTATCAAAATTCAATAAATCATTCTGGGTGTTGCATTTTATATGTCACTTAGTACATTATTGAGATCAGAGGCTTGAAACTTCAGGCAGCAATATGTTAACGTAGCACGATAATGGTCGCCAAATTCCACTTGAAATGCTCGGGAGGGCGTTACCGAAAATCGAATTTTAAAAGACGCATCGACCATAGTATCAGCCGATATTTCAAAGAATCAATTTTCAGAAAGTGCACGCCAAGAACTTAGATAAGAAAGATATGTCAGCAGATTTTATTGTTTTTATACTTTTTCATTAAGAAGTACCTCTAATTGAATCAACTGTTATATTCGGAAGATACGATTAGAGAAATTTTCGAATTAACCATGATCTCAGCTTAAAATCTGTTCAGCTTTTTTATGAAAACGCTTTCGTCATGGAGGCTGAGACCATTTTCAGGAATCCTTTGTTATATAAATCATTCAGCATTTTGCTCAAAAGATTAGTTTCCTAAATGCTTTGTCAAAAATGGTCTTTAACTATAGTACTACCAGAGCTATGAAACTCTCCTGTCGGTGTCAAAATGGGCCGCCGTTTTGGCAGAGAAAACCAAATATAAATTTTCCTATTCCTAAAGAGGATTTAGTGTTCTATGTTGAGCAGTCAGTAGTAGTAGTAGCCTCAGATATTCTTTGCAATCATACAAGTTATAATCTTATATCTTGCACTAGGACAATTTAGGAGAAATCCACCGAAATGACGGCCGTTTCTGACACTGTTTTTGAGTTTCATAGCTGATTATTGTCTGAGCTGTGTACTATCCTTATTAACTAATTTGGAACAGTTCATGCAGGCAACCATGATGGAAGAAAACAACCTATCATTTTTGGCAAACTCTTCCATGATGTCAAGTCGGCCCAGAGATAGGTCACCCACGCCTCCTCATGACCATATGATCAGGTAAGATTTCATCCATAATACAGGGTGTAGTAAAAGTTGGGACTTTCCTTTTCAGAAACAACTACGTTTGTTAACTAAACTAATGTGCGATGAAACAACAAAGAAAAATTAAAAAGTATTAATCTTTAAAAACGATCTGGATGCACTCGCGAAGCTTCGGTGACATTTCGAAGGCACTCATCGTAAATTGCGATAATATGTAAAATTCCTATGTTGCTGTATGTCCATTTTTGTTTCTTTTTTTAGAACCGATGTGTAAAGGTTTTGTTAACAAACGCGGCCAGCAACTAGATTTAGTACGGATACGCAACGTACGTCTTCACGTTTGATCTGATCAAGGTGCAGGACCAGATTATAATTTGAAAAGTACACGACTTAGATTTTTTTATATTTCACTATAAAAACCTGTTTATTATTGCCTGATCTATACGCTCTGTAAAGGAAAGTCCCAACTTGGAAGATACCCTGTATATGGTGATGTAAATTTTGCACTTTTGAAAAAGGGATTACCATCGTAGATCTCCAATGAATGGAGGGTTGCATATCAAGCAAGAGATCATGAGTCAGGAGCATCACATGAGCCGGGATCCAGAGCAAATGCACCACATGATCAAACGAGAAATGATTCCAGAATACGAGGATTCTGAGCAGGATCAGAACACTGAAGAGCATGTGGCTGAAGATCTCACAGTTTCATCTGAACAAATGGACTCCAACATGCTCGACGCATAGCGCCGATGTGTTAGTGATGAGTGTAAGTGAGAACGGACAGAAGGTATATAATTGCTAATATTAATACTCGAATCTGGACTTTCCATTTTTAGATATCTGACGAACTGTTTTTTTTTCATCATGTCCGACTGAAATGTTGGAGGCGATATTTTGAAAGTTCGTCGAACCCGTAGAGGAAAAAATCATACAAAGTACGTTTGACAAATAATGCCGTAGCGTCGCACCCCAGTCGCCTGCAATGCAGGCTCCATCTTCTCGACGTTTTCACAAATGTCACGGGTTGATAAACGACGACGCTACGTCAACTGTCAATCTCACTACTTGTCAAACGCGCTGTGCACACAACACACAAGTAATCTTGCATGTATTCCCAATTCGCTTTGAAAGGTTTTTATCCATATTTTATAATCTCGACATGATAATTTTTTTGAGCTTTTCAAAACAGGCCTTCGACATTTTCAACTAGGCTGTTATGGACGGTTGCATTGTAAAATTCGTGTGTAAATATAGGAAATGTTATTTTATGAACGAATGAAGACGTAATAAGCACTGTTATTTCTTTTAATACACCAAAAAATTTGAATGATAGACGAAGTTGATTCCAAATATCTGTGTCAAAAATAATTTTGAAGCTATCAAACGTAAAAATGTTACATTGTTTGATACTAATATTTCCTTTTATAATCAAAATATAGTTCCTATCGAGAAACTAAAAATATTTCACTTATGCAAATACTGCCTCTGAAAAGTACAACCCGAAACATCACATCATGCTTCTTATAAATTCGCGCCACTTTGGGTATCTTTTTGCGGTGTAAGCAGGGACGCATTTCAAGATTCACTGCCCTGGGCCTCTCAAGGCTGGCTCCATAAACAAAAGGAGAAATGCAAAACTTTTGATTGAGTCCTCTTAAACTCAAGAGCAGGGAAATTCTGCTTTTCCTGAAATAACTAAGGTTTGTCGATGTGAATCTATGACATAATATGCATTTTTGAAATCGGAATTAAAAACTCTATCCGACTGCGCAAAGATCCAATATGGCGTTCGTAAGAAAAAATAAAGTTGATGCTGGAGGACAAGAGGTGAACCGTCACATTTAACTTCTAATTATACCATCTTGTAGAGGAGAAATGGCGATATTAACGTGCAATTTAGTTCTGAGAAAGCGGCACTGATATGGTCGAACTTTCTGAGATTCTGAGTCAATCTACAGCAGGTGCTTTGGAGTTTTTGGAGTTTTTCACGGTATCACAGTCCAAGATATAAAAATATACTGAAAGGATGTACATGTATGTGACTTCAAATTCAAGTAGCTGTTTATTAGCATGCGACAATCTGAAAATTGCATAACAACTTCTTCTCATCAAATGGTATACCTAAATTTCTTGCTGATTTCCCAATTGGTATGTCCGTTTGTCCATTTAAAGATATTATCATTTTTTTTTTCACTTTGTGTCGTATTTTTTTTTTTTTGGGGCAAAAACCATCACAATTGATATACCAATATGAAGCTGTAAATTGCATAACGATCTATGTACTTCATCGCAATATTTTGCTCAGCAAATCATATATAATAATAATATCATCATAATATCAACGTTATTCGAAAATCGTGATCACGTCACGGTTTTAAATCACGTAACAACATCAGATATCACAGTAATTCAAAAATAACGATATCGGCTATCTCTACAGTGTTGGATTTAGGAAGCTATTTAGAGGTGCTACAGTGGTGGTTGCAGAATGCATGTTCGTGAAGATGTTCGTCGTTTTGAAGAAAATACTTTCAGTTATAAATATGTTAGTAGTACTGTCATTTTGATAAATAGCAGGCAAGCTGTTATGTTTGGTTTTTTAGTTCCTTTATTTGGCGGCGAACCTTCAAGGGCCTAGAGCATTGAATCTTAAAATACGCCACTGTCCCGATGACATAGGCTTAAGCCATAGTCAATCGGTTTTTGAAAATCATGATACCTAGAATCACGGAAATTTTAATTGACGATATTGAAGCTAAAATTACAAAATTCAAATAAACTTCTGTCCACCATCTTTTATTTAAGCAGAGTCATATCTCCTCTCTAAAAGTAATGATTTGGTTAGTCATACAATTCAGCGTGGCAATTTTGACTTTCACATCTTGTATACAGAGTGTCTGAAAAGTTCTGGAACCTCACGATAATTTGTGAACTGATGATGGTAGAAAAAAACGAAACCCCGCGATAGATAGGGGTTTTCCAATAATGACTTTGAATTTGACCTTGGCCATGACCTTCAGGGTCATATGAAGATCAAGTTGATTTTTTCAAATGGAATTCCCCATTTTTGACCCTGTGAATAAAAAGAGCGGAAAATATTTGGTTGAAATATGGGTTTTACCGCTTTCAAATTTAGATCTTAAGAGGTCATGATCAAGTTCAAACCCGATGATATAACTTGAAAGGCAGTAGTCATATAGGGAAACTACCGAGACATTATTTCCATGATTTTCCCCGAATATCTAATGGTGACCTTGGATCTGACCTTGGGTATGACGTTCAAGGTCAACTCTTCTTTAATGGGACCCTATACTTTTGAGCGCCAAAGAAAAAATGTTTTGTTCGAATATGTCGTTGAACATGACTTTGTACTTGACCATCAAAGTCAAACAAGCTTCCTTGATAATTCAGAAAACTATGTGATGCCCTGATAAACTGACTTTACTGTTCTTCCAGGATTTTTTTCTGGCTACAAAAATTGATTTGACCTTCACATGACATTGATGGTCTGATGGTTAAGGTCAGATCCAAAATCATGAAAATAATTTCCCGACAGTTTCCCTATACGACTACTGCTTTTCAAGTCATATCACCTTACCTGGATTTGACCTTGACCATGACCTCCTAAGGTCAAAATTTAAGAGTGATTCAGACCGTATTCGAACGCAACAATTTTCGTTTCTTTTTTCATCTACGGGGTCAAAAATGGAGGATTCTATTTAAAAAGGTCGACTTGACCTTCAAACGCCCTTGAAGATCATTGCCAATGTCAAATCGAAGGTGGTTATTAAATAGCTGTGGAAAACTCCTATCAACCGCGTGGGTTAGTTATTTATACCATTATTAATTTCCAAATTATCATGGGTTCCGGCACTCAGTATACTTTGGAACGTCGTTAACACAGCAAATATACACCTACATAAATATTTATTTCACCTGTAGGTCTGCGTATTTTGCATTTCCTTTGTTTGGAATCAACCTTGTTGATAAAAACGTTAATTTATTGATACAGGGTTATCTGTTAGACGGACTATTTTTTGGCCAAGCCAAATCTATTTACAATATAGGTAATGTTATAGCACTATATCTGTTTAGCATATCATTTGCCTTATGTGCGCTATTTATTAATTTAAAAAAGTTGCGAATGATATCATTTTTTAGTCCGAGCAATCTAACCTTCATACATCCAGAATAGGCATACGGATCAGGCTGGCAATAAAAATCCATAGATGGATTCCACATCGCAACTATAATCAAATTCAAGCGGATAACCAAATGAAAATGGTAAGGCTTTATCGGAAGCGCATGCGCATTTCAAAATATTCGCTCCGTCAATCCATGTTAAAGTTTATTTTATTGATGTTCGTGGTTCCAGCATATTTTGTTGTTTGTTTGGTACTAATTCGTTGTTTGAAAGGGCGCCCGAAAGGGGGGATCATCGGCAAGATGTAAACTTTTGTGAAAGTGTACCTGCTCCCTCTTCCCCCAAAAAAAACTTTTTGAAGAGGTGAAGGTATTCAATATAAATATAATTTGCTACAAGGGTTACATCGCTGGTCAGCTCGTCAAAATTTTTCCTAAAAAAAGCATACCAGTTAGTGTTCTGATCTTCTATGCAATATTCTGGAGGTATATAGAATCCCTATTTTCATATTGTTATAATGTTTATAACAAGTTTTTCTTGACTGGATTGCCATTAAAAATATCAAGATTTCTGGAGGCATTCCTAAGTTTATTGTAAAAGTTCCAGTAACCATAGACTTTTATGCATTTTTTTCCTCGGAAGAAGTTGCATGTTTATCTATCTCACAGTCAGGCTCCACCAATTATGGAGACTCCAGTTTCTTTCAAGAGCCACATATTCAGTGCCATATTAACATAGTCATAGCCATGTGCGCCCGCAGAAAATTTTCTAAGGAGGACATAACTTTTTGTAAAAGTGCACCTGCCCCCAAAACTCTTTAAAGAGCGACGGCTATCAAATTTTCTCAGCGTGTGCCAAACTCTGAAAATCCCCAAAATCGTACAAAAAGTCATGCTAAATATGCAATGTTCACGGTCCAACCGGATTCTCAATAAGGGACTATGGCACCCCTTGTTCCATTCATGTTCTAGTTTAGGCGAATCCATGATGGAAAAACTTTTTAGCTGTTACTATTTTTCTTAAAAAAATGAATGACAGTGAAGACCAGGAGAGGGCGTTACTATACTTGTGTTAGGAAGGAAGCAGGACCTCAGCTTATGAAGGTAACTTCACGGACAAAAAAAATCTGCAAATGAGCGTTCCGAAAAATCTGTTTAAATGATTTGAACAACTCTTCCTAAAATACACTTGACTTTTTATAGATTTTAGATGCGATAGAATGCAAAAATCCGTCAAAATTGCTTTTTAGTTTGAGAGACTATATTTTTCCGAGACCTAAGAATCATTTAGCCACAGATTTTTCAGGAGGCATGATATATTTGCTTTAGAGCTGCCGCGCAATATACCTTACCATGTGTCTCAATTATAGTGCGTCAAAATAGATATGAGCACTCGATCGTAGCTTAGGTTCGCTTGTCGCTGCCTGCCCAGGCATTTATAGTTTGCTGGCAAATTGAGCGCAAGAATTTGAACGTCGCGTATCGATGTTCGTTTTGACGGGCAATAAATGAGATTTGACTATATTTTGGGTCACCAATGGAGATCACTAGTCGCAGCCACTAGTGACTAGACGCATCCATAGAATTTTTGTCGCCGATATCGTTAGACTATTGCTTCTTTATGATAAATTCAAATTGGCGTTATGATAGGGCTTGAGCACTTGTCGCTATTTTCAAAACAATGTGTGAACATTAACAGTGCACTAAGCGAAAATATGGCAGATAGATGCGGAGTTCCACAAGGAACCGTATTAGGACCAACACTGTTTAATTTTTATATTAATGACCTTTTTGAGTGAAAAAACGATGGAGAAATTATTGGTTTCGCAGGCGCTATGGTAATTATTTATTCAGCCACAAAAAGGGCTGCTTTAAAAAACAAAATTATATTGGATTTTCAAAAGGTTACAAATTTTTTCACGGAAAGGATTTTAACATTTTCTTGCAACAACAAATTTTAATCAAGTCCAAATTGAAACTTTAAATAGCTGCAGTTGATCATTTCAAATATTTAGGGATATTTATAGATAAGCATCTAAGGTGGTGGTATCTACACATGATAATATATCATACCCTTGTTCAATCGTTAATATCCTGTAGAATCTTAGCATGGGGGAATCATGAATATTGATTATAAAAGAATTGAAGTTACGCAGAAGTGTGTTTTGAAGGTTACGTTGAAAACAAAATAATGTTTACAGCGAATTTCAGCTTTTCGACTGCCGGCAAATATATTTTTATCATACAATAATATATTTAACAAAAAAAACAAAACTGTTAAATTCTATTAGCAATAAACATCAAACGCGATTCAAGGAAACATCTGCACTTATCCCAGACTAAATAAAACTATCAGCCAAAGATCATTCCACTTTCTGTGCTCAGAATTTTATAATGTTATTCCTGCAAATTTCAGACATATAAAATGTAAAAAACGTTTAAAAACTTAATTAGAGTTATGGATCTTAAATCACCCAAGGATACAAATCCATAAACTTGTAGTCATTGAAAATCAACATGTTATTTGTCAATACATTGATACAATTTTATACGTGTATACTAAAATTTGTTGTATTCATATACTTCAAGTTCGGTTAAAATCCAAGCACAAGTGTATTATACTTTTTGGGGTATTTTATGTTTATTGGTCACTACCGTTATTATTTATACGAAAACTTTGTATTTAGACCAATAAACATTATTATTATTATGTACTTTTACCCTTAATTTCTCGTAATATGTCGACCATACGACAACTTTTTATAGAAGCAAAAGGATGAAAAATTTAATTTACTACAAAATTGTTTCTATTACTTTCTTACATAGGATCGACGATTTTCGAGATTTTCGATCAAACAGGTTTTTCAAAATGGCGGCAAACGCTCCAGCCCTATCATTACGCCAATTTCAACGTATCATTAGGAAGCAATATTCTGATGGTACCACTATAAACAATTACTGTCCCCCAAATTGTAAGATTTCCTATTTCTATACCTGACTAGCGATCTTGCCATTGGTGTCAATAGTACGGCGGCCCTTTGACATTACGATTTTTATTTTTTTGCGCCCATAGTGATGTAAAATAAGCAATATTATATAATTATTGATTACAGTTGGGCATATTCTGTCTTTACGAGGAATATTGGATTCCATATCATTATCTGAAATAAAATCATATATCAATGTAAAAATAGTATCCTTGCATACGTGTAAAATTAGCCATTTTTCAAAAATATCTTCTCATTGGTTACGTTTCATATTTATTTCTTCCTTATTTTCCCTCTCTTCATCTGGGATATTGATACAAAATACATATAAAACTTTTCAATTGAAAAACTGGCCGAGACAGTCTGAAAAGTATTTCCCAGTTCTACGCATCCTGAGGTATATTTCTATTACAACAAATTCGCTCGCATGATACTGCCACCCAGGACGCGAATGTGCGAAGTGACTGTTGCGCGCAACATATGGACAAGTTGCACCGCAGATATATAAGTTTGTAACATTTATACGGACATAGTTCTGCAGTTACCGAAGTAAAAGTTCTGACAGTCTGCATTTACCTGATCAGATGCGTTCTCATTCAAATAAACTGCGATACGTGTTGCGCAACTTGTTATATTGGAAACATACCTTTAGGTAGCTCAAACATGGGAATGATAAGTTTTCTTTAACATCTTTGCAAGAGTCCGGGTATTTCGGTTTATCGATTGCTTCAGAATAAAAAATAATAGGTTTCGTGGTATTATATATCAATATTCTCTGCAGTCCATTTCTTGTTGCGTTTTTTTCTTATCGAAGGAGTGTAGGAGTTGGCTATGCAAGTCCAATAGTGTTTGTATTATTGAAATATACTGATTGACAAAGACAACAGAACAGCTTTCAGAAATGTATTTCTTCAAACTTTTTACGTTCATGTTCGATATTTTCGGTGTGAAAAATTATAAAGACGTCTTGTAGTACTATCAATTCCTGAACTTAGATTGTCGAGCATGGACATACGAGTTTATACATTTTATTTCCTGTTCCATTTTTTGTCCATGAGTATTTGTAATACAAAGTTTTATCTAGGTTCTGAATTATCTAGCGAATAGACAGCCAAATGTTTTGAATACTTTATGAGTGTTTCCATATTTTTTACTCAAGAACTCGACATTCCTTCAATAAAAATAAAACCTTAGAATACAATAGCCGGATGCATAGTTGATTCTTGGAGTATTCTTCTTGTGGGTATGCTTCATTAGCTCTGTTGCTCTGTTTATTGCATGGTCCTTCAATCTCAAGCCCCTTTATTACCACTGGCTGTCCATTATTAATTTGGCGTTTGATGCGAAACAACTCACAGTTAACGTACAGAACTGAGTCATTGTATATATAACGATCGAGAAATTAAACAAGTCATTCAAGCAGCCCGTAAACAATCTTTTCGCTGCCATATCGATAGTACCGTCCATCTAGCAATGTCGCATGTCCCCGATACCTGACCGCACGACGCGCCACAGCGGCAGTAATGCTAGAACACTTACGAAGACCAACACGCCCTATGGTGAATCCAGAGAACAGACGCAGGTACGCGTATCTCTAGCAAGTTTTAATTAAGTCCGTATGCGCTATAGAATTATACTTGGACATAAACAAAGGAAAATTGTTTTTCTTCACCAATCCTGACAAATTTGAACGCGAGGTTGGCTATAAACGCGGTACAAAGGTGAGTCTATCAATATCTTATATGATATATTTATTGGGTCATTGTTTTTTAAGTATTTTAATAAATATGGTTATTTTTGATATCAGACAATGTCGGTACAATGACTCAATGATGTACCTAACTGTAAGATAGGTAATGGGTAGGACCATTGGTTAACGTAGTATAGCTGAAGATATCATACCTAATCGTATATTCCCGCATCCAAAACATTTTAGAAGATAAAGATAAAATGAGAAACCGTAGCGCCTTCTATACGGCACCAACCTTTTGAAATTATATAATAATAATGTTTATTGGAGTATTGATACAAGTATGGTGTATCTGAAGTCACTTGAAATAGCATAAAAACCTTTGGTCGGCGCGTCCTTTGTAATTTCATGACGTATCATAGGCGTGCGGCATTTATTTAGACCGATAATAATAATGTTTGTATATCACAATAAATGGATTTTACTATCTTCTTATTTTTTTGATTTGGGATAAAAAATACTTATATTGGGAGTTTAATTTATGTTGGCTGAAAGTTAAGAAATGGAAAAATTACAGAATTCCAACGTTTGACATAGGCAAATATTTACATAGCAGGTAGGTATATAAAAAGGTATATAAAGACTTACATTATAGGTATTTAGATATCATCCTCGCCTTCGGAGCTGTCGCTAGAGTCATCTTGTAGAGGAATTACAACGGGATTTACAGGAGGCAAAACACAATATTCATTTTCTTTTTCAATAATATGCCTAGAACACTGCTTCCATAGGTCTGTGGCAGCAATATGAGATACTGCATCTCTTATTGTGGCCAATAGCGATTCACTTAATTGAGGGGTCTGATTATGTTTTCTTACTTTTTTTTAAAGCAGCCCAGACCAACTCAATCGGGTTAAAAATGCAGTAATAGGGAGGTAGACGTAATACTTCATGGCCATTTTGCTGAAGCAGATTGTCAACAACATACTCTTTTTCAAATTTTTGTCTTTTAATAAGATCCAATAATATGGCTTTGGTTGATTTTTGTGGTATTTCCATTCCCTTATCCTTCATAAAATCAATAATGTGTTGTTTTTTTTGTGCCTGTATTCGGAATTTTGTTTTTCTGTCGGGAATGGTATGGCGCATTGTCCATAATAATCACTGAATTTGGGGAAATGTTTGGTATTAACTGCTGCTCTATCCACTTTTCAAATAAGTCGGAGGTCATGTCCTGATGATAGTCGGCACATGATTCTTTGATATTTTTGGCAGATAACAGCAAGGCATTAGGTATAAATCCATTTTCACTGCCAGCATGGAGAATAATGATTCGTTTTCCACGGTTGCATGGTGCATTTAAAATGCACTTGTTGCTGTCGTCAACCCAGCCGTACTGCACAACATCATGGGTATCATACCACGTTTCATCCAGGTAAATCAGATTTCTTTTCTGCTCTCTATAGATTTTAACTTTGTGCAAAAATTCTTGGCGCAATTCAACGATTCGAGACGACTCCATAATCACCATTCTTTTATCTAATTTTTTGTATTGAAAACCACACAGTTTTACAATACAGTGCAGTGAGTCTAAGCATTTGTAATTATAAAAATCTCCAGGATAATCTTTTAATTTATCCCGTATCATTTCCAACGTGGGCACCAAATTTTCTTTATAAAATCCGTATATTATACGACGAATATCTTCCTGAAAACCGACGTCTATTCTTTTTAATTTTTGCCCTATGCGCTTTCTGTGGAAGGAATGGTTGACTACATCTCCCCTTTTTATAACCCGATAAATGGTAGACCGATTTTTGTCAGGATACAAATTCTGTTTAAAATTTAATTTTGCGAGGAATCTGGATTTTAGTTTTCAAGACAATCATACATATTTAGGATTACTCTTTGGGTCTGTTCCTCTAAATCTTTATGAAAGAATTCTGCCTGCACAGGTTCATCAACCATCTCCTCGTGGCTTGGAGCATTTTCCCAAGGTCTCCAGAGAGCCATATTTAGGACACACAAGAACAATCAACACAACAATTAAATCAACACGTAAACTGAGTATTCAAGAGTCAAAAACACACAAACTAATAAAATCTATGAAAAAACACGGACAGACTAAAGAAAACACGTTTATTCACCGCTACACGGCACTGGCTAAACTGTTTCAATTTTCAGTAGCCACCTGCACTTGTTCCGAGCTCTGAAATACACGCTTTCTCATTGGCTATGTCCACGCATAGGCGTGCTTTACTCCACGTGGACCGGTGAAACTGCCTTTGATCTTATACGGGGGATATTTGCTGCGAAATTTGGCGATTTTTGCAGCAACAGAACGTGTTAAATATAGATATATAAAACGCACCCGGTATTTCACAGTGTTTCAAGTGACTTCAGATAAAGTATACATTAAAGATTTCACTACATAATACTCCCATTCAATAGGACCGCCCCTTGGCCCCTAGGGTGTTGAGATTGTGGAACAGTCAAGAGGCGCGCCGGTATACAAAATAATAATACCCCTAAATGCTGGGGATCGGTAAGCCATTTATAACCCAACTTGTGTAGTAATAATTATTACGCAAGAATATATTATGAAGTGAAGATCTTTTCTCTAAAACGATAAAAAGATAATTTGGAAACTTATATTTCAAAAGCTTGAATAATGAAACGGCATAGACGAGCTATGAGCGATATTTGAACTTCAAAACGTATTCCCTTAAATAATAACCAGTGACGTGGTTGAAACAAAATCTTAAGCAACAGTTTTGCAGAACTTGATCTTTTATATATAGTACGTAGGGAAACAGCTGGGACAAATTCTCATAGATGACGCTACGGTATCTCATTTAATCTCAGATAATTTTTTGGACGCGGAAATACAGCATTATATTGGTTCAGATAGAATAAGGCATCCTCAAAATAAGGATCCCTCAAGTATAGATACGACTATGAGTTCGGCCTCAAGTTGTAGAGCTATAATTTTGTACCTGTATAGAGTGTATTATAATAGTAGACATTTATTATTGGTATTTTCCACTGTCCCTTTTTAATAATCTCTTTATAGTCTACATTTTTGAATGACACTTGAATTTTGATTATCTTCTAAAATGTTTATTAGATTTTCGAATCTGTCATTTGAGTTATTGCCAAATACATTCGCGTACATGTGATAGTATCTTAGTTCAAATTTATTGAAATATCTACTGTATGTATAGCTAGAAATGTGAAACATTGCATAAAAAAATATTTCTCATTATTTATAATTTTGATAGACAATCAGTTGAGGTCTTGTCCTAATACTAATAATTCGTCGATCTTGCCATATTCATCAATTGAATATATTGAAATATGAAATTCGCATAAGACATTCGAAATTTCGAAAAAAAAAATCGGAATTTTTTATCAGAAGAAGGACCAGCAGAGGTAATTCTCTCATGGGTGGTTGGAAGGTTATCAACACAGCTGCTCCAACTGTATCACTAGAAAGAACACAAATGCACGATAGAAAAGTGCTTTTATTCAATTTTATCAATTAGTTTTTGAGAATGCGAAGAACGGAAGTGTTATAATAACATAGTATCTGTCATCAACTGAGGGGGCAACTGCAAACTGACTATACTATAACTATCTAAAACTGTAATGACTCATCGATCTTCACGTGAACATCACTTAACTACCAGTAGTCGGCTGTTCATAGGCGGGGTATGAATGTTTAACATGGGTGAACTAGATTTGTCACATGCTTAATAAAGAGTGGTTTGAAACATATTGTAAGTCAAAAATTTGCGAATTACCTTTATTCATCGTCGCTTCCACTTACATCTGACAGTAATAAACTGTCGCTATCGCTTTCCTCGTTGAAATTGACTATAACTGGCTCTATGATGGTATCGATGTGGTGGTCAAGCTGCCACATTTTTGTTTCTTCCTTCACAGCATGACGGATAGCATTCTGCCAAGCTTCGGGCGTTACTAGCTGTATGGAAGTCTCAAGTAAAACCTTAACGTCTGGTAATTTGAAAGTTGTGTTCTGGCGCGCAATATAACCCTTCACTTGAGCCCAGATGAGCTCTATTGGGTTCAGTTCACAGTGGTAGGGCGGTAACCGCAGCACAGTGACACCACATTGTCACGTAACTAATGTTCGCAGGTTTGTGCTGTTTAATTTTTTCATACAATTCCGCTTTCACACATGAATCGTCAAACGGGATTCCTTTTTTCGCGCAACCATTGCTGCATGTCACTTTTTCGAGATCCCATAGTCGGTACACGTTCGGCTCGACGACTATGGTAGGAAGCATTATCCATGACGATCACAGAGTTGGGCTCAACTCGCTGAAGCACCCCTTGAAACCAGCTCTCGAAGCAGCTGGCATTCATTTCGTCATGGTAATCACCTCCTTTCTTAGAGACGAAAATCAAGTCACACTCTTTATATCATCCTGAAATTCGATAAATGTTGGACGAACTTTTGTCCTTTGTTTTTTAGGCAAAGTATATCCTGATGCCGTCAATGTCTTTTTAAATTCCTCTGGGAATTCAACCAAGGTAGCCAAGTTACATATTGATGTCAGCTTGCGATGAATAAGGTCATAATGATCAGGATGTAACACAATCTTCTCTACTTGTTCTTCTGCAGCAAACTTAACTAGACCGGCAGTTTTAGTAGTAAACTTATGATTAAAAGGAGTATCCTCTGGTTTCAGTGTAATTTTAAGATTTAATTCTAGAATGATAGTAAAGGCTTTATAAATTGTAGCAGGATTTCTTGTCTCTGCATCATAGACTGTATTAGTCCAAATCTCTACGTTTGCCCACTATCGCTACCAATATGAGTTACGATCAATCTTTGACCTTTCACTGATGGTCCACGAAGACCTGTTGACAAACCTTCAATGCTTGCTTGTCGGTTACTCACTACGTTTTTGTCTATCCAGGTTTTTTAACTGTGTGACCTGCATTTACCCATGTCTCGTCCAAATAATAGATTTTTCTGCTTTGTCGCCTATATTCAATCATTTCGCGTAGGTATTTTCGACGCCAGGCGACTATTTCAGGTCTCTCTATCAATACTGACTTCCGATTACGCGTTTCGTAACGAAAATTAATTTCGTGCAGGGATTTCCTCATTACCTCGACGCTCATTTGGGCTATAATTTCATTTTCCTTGATCGCTGCATGTACAGCCTTGAGGGTTGGTATCTCATTCCTAAAGAAGAATGAATGTACGGTTCGCCTTAACGCCATTTTGCTATCGTCATCCAATTTAACGGCCTTTCGTCCCTTCAAATTAAACTTTGGATCAGTAGTAGCTCCAGTTTTCTTCTTTTCATGCACCACCCTGCGAATGGTCCGCTCTGGAACGCCTGTCATACTTTCACAACGCGCGAGTGCATCTCCCTGCGACATAGTTCTGTTCAGATAATTGAACACGTTGAGCACGATTTCTTTCGCGTCCCTCTTCAGTGCATTACGAAGCCGTCTACTTGTTCCCTGGCTTTCAGTACTTCCATTCGTGCCATTTGTACTCTCCATGGTTAAGTATAACAAAAACAGTAACCACAAAAACCACAACAATAACAATCACACAACAATTCTTATAAAAACACACAATATGCGATCGCTCAACGAAACACGTTCCAATGCGTTGCCGACGCCTATGAGTCTGCCGGTCGAGGCGCGTCTTTGATTACATTGGTTCTACCGGCGGAGAACAATCAGCCATTATTTCCATCTCTGTCTGTGCTGCTGACCACCGCAAAGCCACAGAAACGACATATGTCGTACGCTATACGGCTGTACTGGAAGGAAGCCGGAATCGAGCTCTGATCACGTGTTGATCACGCGCATGAGTCATTACAGTTTTAAATAGTTGTAGTATAGCGGCGGCAATGCTAGCAACAGTCACGTAGCTGTTTTGTTGGTATGAGCGCTTGTATTTGAATACATGTGTGTAGTCAGGTTGCAGTTGGGCTGCGATCAGATTATGGTTGTTTTCGGTGAGAAAGGTCCCTAAAATAACATTCAGTTGTCAGGTGTGCGAGGTCTGTAAATTAAGCGATGTTCGATTTTTTAAATTTGTTTATTCAAATATAATTTCAATTTCATATCGTCACCCTCAGATTAACTTCCTTCTGAAGCCACACAGCGCTGGAGACGTTTCTTACACTCGTCATTGCAATGCTGGAACTCCGATACTGGAATAGCCTTCAGCTGGTCGGTTATAGCGGTTTGAATGTTTTGGACTATCCCAAAATGAGTTCCCTTGAGGTCATTTTCCAACTACGGCAAGATAAAAAAGTCACAAGGACTCAAGTCAGGCGAATAAGCAGACTGAGGATGGTTTTACTGGGCAAAAACTCGTTTATTGACATTGCTGTGTGGAGCATTGTCGTGTTGCAACGCCCAGCTGCTCTTGATCTGATGAACGGTGATGTGGGTCAAATTTAACTCTTCCCCGATCATTCTGACTGTCAACCGACGATTCCTCGGTTCTTGAAGATGGTCTTTCGCTTCGTGGTTCATCTTCTCCCTTCTGTTTCAGAAACTCCCCAAGCGTGGCGCTTCCAGTGTTGCGAGATCGAACGCTACAATGCCGCATCATTACTTAATTTACAGACCTCGTAGAACACATAGTGTTTCAGCATTTTCCTGATTACCCATTTTACTTTAGCATTTTTAAGCAAGTAACTGCCCACACTTCAGGAAGTCCATATTTTGGAAAAACGTATTTACCGATAACTGCCAGAAACAAGTAGTGTGCGAACAGTATTATTTTGAAGACCTCAGACTTCCCTTTTTTACGCTTGTTCTTCAAGAACATACGAAATGTTTTTTTAATGTAATGTTAGTCATCCACTTGTACTTATAAAATACATTATTTTTATTTTACTTTAATATGTGCTATACTTAACTGGCAATGATCCATCAATTTATCTACTATTTAACATTCCTAGGACCATCAAATTTTTGAATAAGAACCCTTACATATCAAGTGATTATAAAGATATAGTAATAGCTTAATATCAACTGTACTTAGCTTGGAATCTCATTGTAGCATTTCTGCAGATTCTCGAAATATTCAGTTTTGTATATAGCACATTTTGTATAGTAGAATCGATTTTCAGTAGCCCGGTAACATTAGTTTTTTTCTGGAAACATTTTCTATTAAATTTGACATTTCCTATGATGAGGATTTTGTAGCATATCATGCGCCTCCTTTTTTGTTAACTATGAAAGCGATTGTTCTTAGCTTACAATTTGACTCGATAACAAAATTCGGGTAAATGCGTGTTTGTTTCTATGTAGATGCCCAATGTTACCGGATTATGAATTTTGTGTAGATATCGGTACTCGACATGATGGATCTTACCAGTTTGGTACTTTTTAAGAAAATGATCAGTATGTCTCATATAAAATTGTACGATAATTCTCGTATCATAATTTTTGTTTGTTTCAAGAAAATATAACAATACGAACATGAGAACTGTTTTATTTTCCTTTGAGAATTCAAAAGGACAAACTACCACCTGTCACACTTATCCAATTTTTTTTTCTGGTAGATGCGTATTTTAGGCCACAATCCACGTAAGTCAGTACATTTCTTGAAATAATACGGAGGGACGATTAAAAATTAAGGGTAGGGAGCGGCTGCTGCGCTTTTAATAGCAAATGCCCTTGCGACAATTCAGGAGCGAGGGGTGGATACTTCCAGGATGGGACGCACGTCTCACGATTTAGGTCTAGCAAGGTAATTTTTATAGCACTTACCCCTTTTTAAAAAACTATAGGCCTGGGCATCTAGGGGGCGCGCATCCCCCTTTTCTCTGAATCTGCCCTTGACAGAATTCAAGGTCCTCTACAACTGAAGTTGTGGCCGATTCATGGTTTGGATGAACTTGATTCGTGCAGTTGGATTGAAGAGAAGTGCAGCGGACCTTACTCAAGTTCTTTCACGTCTACTTTTGAAATTTGAACAAATGAAATTTTATAGGCTCACTAATATTGAATTCTGAATAGGCAGAAATTTTAGCACAATAGTCTTCGAATGGTTCTTTATAAATACATTTTGAAAAATGCAAGTGTGCAAGGTCAGGATTTAAAAATGATTTCGTTGCACCAGTATCAATAAGAAGCTTTAAAGGCGGATTTTTAATTTCAATATAAGGTAACTCTGTTTTGTCATAAATCGTATTTAAGTATACTAAGTGACATATAAATCCGAACACCCAGTTTAAATGGTTTTATTTTAATAAATGATAATAATTTCAAATTGATTGCACTGCTTTAAAGCCCTTTAACCTTTAATAATGTGTGGATGCACCCTGATGTGCTACGCATTCTCCAACGCGCCTAGGCATGCTTCTGATCAAGTGGTCAATGTCCTCCTGTGGTATCTCATTCCAGGCAACCACCAACTCCTCTCGAAGTGCTTCTAGAGTCTGAGGAGGACGTTGCAAATTGAGCAATCTCCTACCCATCATATCCCACACGTGCTCAATTGGGGATAAGTCGGGAGATCTTGGTGGCCATGGTAACAATGTGACATCATTATGTTGAAAGAAGTCTATTGTGACTCTTGCAACATGTGGTCGGGCATTATCTTGTTGGAAAGTTGGATCTGCCAGGGTGTCAAGATAGGGTAAAAGATGGGGTTCTAGAACTTCGTGGATATAACGCTGCGCGTTCATGTTACCTCTGATGAAGATTAAAGGTGACCTGGAACCATAAGCTATAGCACCCCAAACCATAACTCCAACAGTGTGATGAACATGTCTTTCAACAAAAAACTGTGGATTCCTCCTTTCACCACGTCGCCTTTTAACCCTGGCACGACCATCGTGCATGCCTAAACAAAATCGAGACTCGTCACTAAAGACAATACTCTTCCATTCCTGATCCCAGAGTGACCGTTGTCTGCACCACTCAAGGCGATTACGTCGGTGTTCTCGAGTTAAAGGGAGGAACCCAGTGTGGCCGGTATGAAAACAAGCCAAAACTTCTCATTCGTCGGTAAACACTTCGCATGCCAATAGGTCTTCCATGTTCTGCAAACCATTCATTTGCAATGGACCTGGTAGTGGAGAAACGGTCCCTTAAGGCCAATAATCTTAGGCGGCGATCTTCACGGTCTGTTGTTCTACGGCGGCGTCCAGTGCCCCTTGCTCTTTGCGTACGGCCTTCTCGAAGCCATGCCTGACAACACCTAACTACAGTGTCTACACTTCTTTGCACTCTAAGTGCAATTGCCCGAAAAGAAGGTCCAGCTTCCCGAAGTCCCACTATACGGCCCCTATCAAACTCACTAAGTTGACGAAATCGTACAGGTCTCCGTACTCTAGGCATCGTAACCGATCGTAAAGGATGTCAAGAACCAAAATCCGCCAACGTTGATTCTTTACTGCGGCTGAAATATTCATTTTTAGAGCGTTAGTGAATTAAAAAAAAAGCAGTATAAAAACCGGAAGGTCCAACTGATAAGGCTGAAAATTTTTTCACTTGTTATTTACAGTAAGATAAATACATTCACCAACTTTTATTAAAATAAAACCATTTAAACTGGGTGTTTGGATTTATATGTCACTTAGTATATATTATGTCTCCGGCCACGGCCATCTGAAAATTTTGTTTTTCTCCATCAGGCTTTTGACCAGTTTCAGAAACATCATTTTTTGTCTCATCGGGGTTTTCGTAATATAGATCAGAACAGTCATACTGATTTTCACTATAGTGACAATATTCCGAGTACCTAATAGTCATCGGAAGGGTTGTTTCTAAAATTTCGATCATAACGTTATGTAATTCTTGAGAAGCAAAAGTTCCTTGGGCCAGAAGGCCTACAATAATTATTTTGGAAATTCTTGTTTCTATAGGAGTAGGGCTGTAGGAAGATACTTGATTAGGAAGATTACGCCAAACATTAACATTACATTAACATTGGGTCTATTGCCAAAAACTTGTGCTTCTGTTGGAAATCTTTGTGGAAGAGGATTTTGTCTAGGTTGAATCGGAACTGGTCCTCTTGGGAATTGAGGCTGATAATTGAAATTTTGCTGAGGCCTAAATTGATTCATAGGCTGCATTTGAGGCTTAAACAAATTTTGAAAATGTGGTTTGGACGGAAGGGCAGGCTGAGGTGGCTTATTGAAATTTAAATGTGCACCAGCCTTTTGTAAATATCTAATGCCATTATCTTCGAAAATATAAGTTTGAGTACCTTAAAAATATTGAAACATGCAAAATAAGCATTCAATATTCAAGTGTAATTTTCAATAATAAACAATAAAAGATGTTGCGCAAGTTAAGTCGCGTTCATGCTAAGACGACATACTCAAGACAAGTTTTTCGGAGATACTCAGTTATTATTATTATATTATATGTAATCGACATTTTAATCTTTTAAAACTCAAAAGGTATTTAAAACTATTTATTTGTCGATAACACAAGAACTATACAAGTAGAAGTAGCTAATATTAGGTGTACGTATTTGTATAATGTAAGATTGTAAATTACAGAAATGCCTCTGACAGTATGCTCAAAGAAATATAAATACAAATTTCTGCTTTTAAAGTCCTAGGTCGGTCCAAATACCCAAATACTATTTGATTCCTTGCGCGAGGGGTGTTCGTAATTATGCAAGTTCTCCTCGGATCAACCCACGCTTCAACCCTCTGTTTTTCTGATCCCCTATAAGGGGAACCGAAATGAATAACCCTGTATTGAATGGTAGGTGACAGTAGACAAACAACTTTATGGATTTTTCGAGGCTCTCTCAACCCGCGACATCTATAAGTTGGTTATGAGACTAGTACTGTAACTCAGGTTACGTCAAACGAGGCCGAATTGTGAGCACGTAGCGTCGTCTCTTGGACAATGGATGAACTATATGGGCTACATGCAGAAAATTGGCATTTAGTAACGACGTGACCTGAAAACTTGAACCCCCCAACCTTGAAGTTAGTTCAAGGAGGTGCTGGCGGTCTTTCATAATGGCTCCTACAATAGCAAGAGTGTACAATAGGTGGCCCATGTTGTCCGTAATGATATAAGGTATAAGGATAAGGTATTATTCTTTCATTCACCGGTTGAGTTACCGGTGCAACACCACTTTTTTTTTCACGAAAATCAATGCTACAATGTATCCTTCATATCCGGTATCGATAAATTCCGTGGCCGGGGCCTAAGCCTACCAGGGGGAGCGAAACTTACCTATACGAAACGCACATGGAAATTTGAAAATTAAAATTCTCAATTTTTCTTCAAATCAACACCACTTCTTGTCACGAAAATCAATGCTACAATGTATCCTTCATATCCGGGATCGATACATTCCGTAGCCGGGGCATATTAAGCCTACCAGGGGGAGCGAAACTTACCTATACGAAACGCACATGGAAATTTGAAAATTAAAATTCTCAGTTTGTCTTCAAATCAACACCACTTTTTTTTCACGAAAATCAATGCTAAAATGCATCCTTCATATTTGGATTCGATTACATTCCGTGCCCGGGACATATTAAGCCTACCAGAGGAAGCGAAAGTTACCCATACGAAACGCACGTGGAAATTTGAAAATTAAAATTCTCAATTTTTCTTTAAGTCAACACCACTTTTTTTTCACGAAAATCAATGCTACAATGCATCCTTCATACGCGGGATCGATACATTCCATGGCCGGGGCATATTAAGCCTACCAGGGGGAGCGAAACTTATCTATACGAAACGCACATGGAAATTTGAAAATTAAAATTCTCAATTTTTCTTCAAACCAAAACCACTTTTTTTTCACGAAAATCAATACTAAAATGCATCCTTCATTCCCGGGATCGATACATTCCGTGGCCGGGGCATACTAAGCCTACCAGGGGGAGCGAAACTTATCTATACGAAACGCACTTGGAAATTTGAAAATTAAAATTCTCAATTTTTCTTCAAACCAAAACCACTTTTTTTTCACGAAAATCAATACTAAAATGCATCCTACATATCCGATATCGATTACATTCCGTGGCCGGGGCATATCAAGCCTACCAGGGGGAGCGAAACTTACCTATACGAAACACACACACACACAAACACATAAGGGGGGAGGGGGTACATTCAAACAGTAGAACGATCCATCGGTAGGTTAGAGGCGTTTTATCATTAGTAAATATACGGCGTGGTCTAAGCCCCTATATGCATGCTAACCAATAAGGATACGTAAAGGCAGGTAGGTTCAACGTTTTTATATTACCCTTGTGGACAGGTAAACAGGTATCTGAATCTGTGAGGTCTTAAGTCACCTGATTCACGAGCCCTTTGTACTACATTAACAAAGGCACGAGGGGTTGGTTGCACTCGATTGGGAAACCGATCCGCATAAAGACTAACCCCCCCCCCCCCCGTAAATAAGAATCATGTCCACAAGTTCAGCATTTTCGTAAACATGTGCATTTTTTATTTCGTTTAAGCCGCGCAACAAACACCACTATTCAC